GGGGGGCGGGGGGTTACCCCCGGGGCCCGGGGGGGGGGACGCCGTGCTGCTGTGCGGCTCGTCGTCGATCGAGTGGGCCAAGTTCAGAAAGGCGGCCGTCTTGCTGAACAGGGGCCAAGGACCCCGGACACCCCCGGTTCCGGCGCTGGACGGCGAGGACGGCGAGGACGGCGCTGGTGGCCGACACGGCGGTGCACGGCGGTGCACGGCGTGTCGGGCCTCGGCCACCTGCTGCGGCAGATGCGGCGGACCGAGTGCGCGGACCCCCGTGACCTACGGCGTCCTGGGGATCCTGCCGGCGGCCTCGCAGGGCCTCGCGCGGCGCATCAGGCCCGACTACAGAAAGCCCGCGGCGGAAGCGTACAAGGAGCTGGTGCTCGCCGAGATGGAGGCGACGCGCAGGGCCGACGCTTACACGGCCGGGGGACCAGATATCCGTCATGCTGGGCTGCAGTGCTACGGGCTCGGGAGGCATCGAGCGGCGGCACCGAAAACAGCAACACGTATGCCGCTGTTGGGCCCTGCAACGCGCATGGCCTCAACTGGGGAGAGGCCCTGCTTGGCCCGCTGCCGGAGGACGTGCGCCTCACATGGAGCCCGTCCGGGCCGGTGTTCAGGAATAGAAACACGGGTGAAGGTGCGGCGGCAGATCCCGGGATCGACTGGGACCTGCTGCAAGTCGATGCCAAGGAGGATGCGTTTGTGCAGAGGGCCAACACGGCAGGCGGAGCGCCCACGTACAAGAGGCCTGATGCGGCGTATTTTGCAAACAAGGGCGCCAGGCCGAGAACCCTTCATTTGGTTTAGAAGAGGGGGGGCACGGGGCTTAGAGAAGAACAAAGATTGTTACGAAGGCAGGTCACAAGGACCCGGCGCGGCATTTCAGCGACACACTAGTGGTCGATGGCATTGCCAAACGACATCAAGGACGCAGCCGTCGTGAGTCGGGGCAACTCGGACAGACCCAGGTCACCGCGGACTGCAAAGGATTCACCACAACAAGCTCTTCCGGCAGGCCATCGGAAACATTCGCGACAGAGGCCGGGCATCTGGCGAAACACGCGATTCCCGTGTCGTCGGGTCCCTCCCCATCGGCGGGCGCCACTTGGACCACAGACAAGGCCCGAATAGAGAAGAAGAAGGGGAGTCGAAGCAATATTTGAGGCCGGGATCGTGTAGTCATGCGGGCTATAATGCTGGCGAGTATGGGGTAAATGGCACACAAAGGGCTTGTTTCCAAGGTCCGAACATGGCCGCATGCGGAGCGACCAGGTCGGACGGGTGCGGATTGCGGGGTGAGAGAAAGCTTCCATGTTTCTTTGTTGGGGATGGCGGGAACAGGCCCGGCGTGGTGATGGGTTTAAAATATAATGAAATAAAAATTTATTGAATATTATTTGCAATTTATTTATTTGTTGATTACTTTAACTCATCAATTCGGCAACGCAGCCCAGTTCCTTGCACCGTATCTTATCCAACTCACCCAGTTCCCCATCCGTGCGCGGAGATGCGAGTCGGCCCACGAAAAAGGCAAGGGACCAAGACGGCATGTGAAAGCGCGTCTCGGAGGACATGTGCCTCTACATTACATGCCAACAATGCCTAGGCACATGCATTGCCCTCACGTCTTGCTTCCGCCGTGATCTAGACATGACGACGGACGTTGTTTACTGCGAATGTCCAAGGGCAACCGTGACGCAGGGCCTGTGGCGAGCTGCGCTCCCGTTCCGGACATGTGTATGTGCATGCCCACCGATTTCCAGTCTTGGCCGACGCCGCATTGTCCCCAACGTCCAAGACGGCGTATGACCGACGTCAGCCAAAAAAAAAATGCATGTCTGAAATGCACATGGACCAGCATAGCGCCCGCACCCGCACCCGCACATCCGCGGCTCCGATAATAAGGCGGCTGGCGGGTAAACCGACTTGGAGCAAGACAACAGCCGGGCAGTCGGCGCATCCCAGGAGCAGGGGGGTGTGTGTGGCCGCGGGGCTCCTTGATCACACGGCCGCCTATTTACAAACCATTGTTTGTGTGTCGAGGACGATATCCGGGTTTGCATATTCAGAAACTCACCGACTCTTGCTGCCCACGCGCGCCGGTGCACGGGGGACGGCGCCTGGCTTGAGCGCGCAGCCAGTCCTCGCTGCAACGTGCTGAATGCGGTGTAAACGTCAACTGGTGTTGCTTGTTTACTGAAACGCCATGGTTGCGTGGTTGGAGTCGATGCAGGAGCTTGGACTCTGGGTTTGTTGATGTCGACTAGCAAGTGACTCGGGCGGGGAATGGCAGCCGTGCACATACGTGTTATTTTATTTTTAAAAAGAAAATACAATTATTTAAAAAATAAATAATAAACGGCGCATGAGAAAGAACCAACAGGAGTTATCCTAGTTTATGCTCGTTCCCCCCCGGCCTGGTGACCGGCCCTGTCGCCCTATCCCATCGTCCTACACTAACCACCATGATGCAAAAATACTCTCATCCCCCGCACTCGTCATGGAACCAGATACCGCACCAAGAATAACATAAACATGAACCACCATGGGGATACCAGGCAGCGATTGCCATCATGCCACGCACAGGGCGAGATCGAGCTCCTTGTCATCATCGAGATTACTGGGGCCCCCTCCCCCGCAACCGTAGCAAGACGCGGAGGGTTGTCACAAAAGGTCTTCCCCTACGTCATAGGAGCACCATTCCTTCGTTGATTGCCCATCTTGCCACGCGCTGTGTAGACGCCGCGCTTGGCCGGCAGTGGTTGGGCGCTGTAAAGCCGTCCCGGGCCATGGGCTGGTGTCAACACCACTGCAAGAAAAGGGAAGATACTCATCCACCGATGGCGATCGCGTCACGTCACTAGATGAGAATGAAAAACACAAATGTGACGTGCCGAAGGCGTCTGACGTGAACATGACAGGGCGCCACCAATTTCGCGATCCAAAACCGCCTCCCCTCGCCCAAGTTGGCCCCGCTGGCAGACAAGACGTTGGATCTGATGGCAGGTGACGGGCCCTGACTGCCTTGTCAGCGCCCTCCAACGGAACAGAGGATGGATGGGAGGGAGGAGAAACACGGCAATGTCGCGCTGCACCGAAAAGCTTGTCCTGCCGCCTGTGTTGCTTCTCAGGGCCCAGCTGACAAAGGGCCAAGGGACAAAGCCCGGAGCTGCTTCCGCCTTAGTCATGACGGTAGGGCAGAGGGGCAAGTGCTAAGCAACCCCATCTTTTCTAGAAGGTTTCCAACACGTGGGGTGGTGTGCGTGTGTGTGTGTGCCGCCACCAGAACAGAGGACGCACAGGCCACCCATCGCGAGTCTTTTACCGTTGTGCTCGCGCAAGAACAGCGAGCAAATCCCGGGTTCCCCATGCGGTATAGCTTGCCCAACTGGGCCATCTCCCCACTTGACCCTGTTCCGCGGACCAGTCAGAAAATTGAATTAAAAAAGCAAATAATAACTCTCTTTTATTTTTATTTTCATTTTTTATTCGGCGCGCGGCCTGGGTTTGTTCCGCACGTCACGCTCACATTTTTGGAGCCTCCCGGAAAGCGTGCCGCCGACTGGCCAGGCCATTTTTTTTCTCCTCTCTCACACAGACAATGACAAGCAGCCCTCCCCCGCAAGAGGCTACCAGAAACTCTGCTTGGATCTCTGTCAAAGTGTCGCTATTATTTCCCCAGGCGGGTTGGAGATTCGGCGTTATTGTCCTTTTTTGGCGTGGCAGATGATGGCGTTTTCGGGAGAGCGCCGAAGTGAATGTGAGGGTGATTGTTGATTCCCACCTCCCCCCACCGTGGCTGGGGGAGAGGCCATGCAGACCCTGTGTAATACCCAGAATGCAGTACGGAGTACTCTGTACTCGGTAGTAACGGCGAGATAGGGCAGCGGAGTAGGCGGGGAGGAGCGGAGCGGCCGCAGGGCTCTACTACACGATGCGCGGCTCTTCAAACTTTCAAGGGGCTTTTCGCGTCAGACGGGATGCTGCATGCAGGCTTGGCTTTTCGGCAAGGAAGCGCGGATATCGCTCATGCCTGTTTTGCATGGTACTCTGTACCGAGGTGCCCCAGCATGTTGTTTTGATGCCGTCGGTGCCGAATGCGGACAGGGCAGTCGATTGAGCCGGCCCGAATTTACCCACGGCGATGCCTGAATTGAACACGTGCGTGGCGGGCAATACGATGGCCACGGCCTTCCGGGTCGGGTCACCGGGAGAAGACAGGCGACTCCGAATATCGACGTACAAAACCTACACACGGGCAGCGCCAGTTCAAAGGCGCACGAGTGAATGAGTAAGTGCGTGTGTTGTGTGTGCCATCCAGCAGCCAATGTGACCCTGGGCAGCATCAATCGACAATAGCCAGCCCGGCGCGGGTTGGCATTGTACGGTGGCACCTCCGACGCCGTAAACCCTCGCAGCCGCAGCGAATAGCATCCCGAATGGCTCTTTTCAATGATTGATTGTTCACGCGGCTTGTGGAGGTACGCTCGGCACACACCCCCCTCCGCTTCTTTTTACCCGGCGACCGTGGCCGACTCATGCTGGCCGCATAGTGTTCGGTGGCTTTTCCTGCGCTGGCCCTTTCGGAAGCCCCAGGCGGCTGATTGCCGGCCTATTCGTGGGTCGAGGACGGGGCGCTGGGGGCTTGAAGAAGGGAGGCTTGGAATGTGCCGGCCGGCGCAACACCTCTGCAGCTCGGCACACACGCATGTACAGCTTTTCATTCAATGGCCCTACAATACGGTGTGGCTCACGCGGTTCGTAGCCACGGGCTGCGGCTACGGACCAAAGGGAGCCTTTTCAATAACCGACCAGATTCGTGACAATACGGCCATGACGACTGCGACTCACACACCATGCTGACGGGGCGGATTACGAGCAAGCAACGGCGAGATGCGGCCGGGCTGTGTCGCGGCATGTACAGATTGGCTGCCTGGCCGTGGACAGTGGCGCCCGTACAAGGGCAATGCTGGCTGCGCGCATTGAGCGCTGGCCTGTGGATATGCGAGAATTACATGTAGGCGGCACGTGGGCTATAGCGCTCTGCAGCCCTGGAAGCGATGGCGCCAGCAGCGATTGCCAGCCCCCAGCCGGCTTCATGGTGCGGACCCGTCAATGTCCGGTGTCGGTTAGTGTAGGTGCCGGTTGCCTGCCATGACGAGACAATGACAGCCACGCTGGGTGGTGCAGCTGCACATGTGGGCTTGTTTGCCCACCAAAATGACTGGTTCTGCCTGTGCGGCTCTGCACGGCAAAGCATGGAATGAAATGGATTCATGTATAAATATTCTTTTAAAAAAATCATGAATAAAAATAAAATATTATTAGTATTATTCGCATTATCATTTTTTTCTTACTCTTGGTAGTATCATCATTTTTCTTCCTCTCATGGCACCAACATTCATGTCCCCTGCCATGCGACTATTGTGCTTCCCCAGGTCTCAGACGTGACCCCAACCAACACCGCTGCCTTGGGAATGCAGATGTCACCATGGCCACGCGACAATGCTACCAGGTGCACCGTGGCTGGCTGTCTTGAAATTCACCACGCTCAGAGAACTGCAGCAAACAGACGTCCAAAATATCATCTTTTTCCGCCTTTTTTGGATATCATGTTTTATTTCATTTTAAAATACAAATGTGAATTTATTTTAAATTTAGTCTTGGACCCTAGACACGTGCACAGCACCAAAAAAGACAAAAGCCACAACATGGCGCTCTCGGGCACACACCCTCCCGCAGCAGACAAGAAGAATCAGAGAGGCGCCCATCGACATTTCAGCCATGCCGTCACAGTCAGTCAATGG